AAAGAGACGCTAACCTTCTCCCCCCCCCCCCCCCTCCATGTGATGTTGCCTGAGGCAACAGTCTCAGGCTACCTTGTTGTAGGGATTGCCCTAGCTGCAGGTTAGGGAATGTCCAGCCTGAGCTGATCGGGAAGAAGTGCCCATGGCTCTTCCCGGATTGGAGAAGCTCAGATTCAGACCGGCTTTGATCCAGTCCTGTGCTCACCTCTAGTGGAAGAAGGTTCATATTTCCCCAGAAATTGCTGCAACTTGCACATCCTAATATTTTCCAAAGGATAAAACTCTTTCCCGTAGCAGCTGTATTAAACAGATCATTTTGTGTCGTAGTTCCACTGAGGGCGGCTATTACCAGATACAGGAACGTTGCCGAAGCTTTGGAAGATAAGATTAAGAATTTAAAGGAGTCAGATAAGACGTAAGTACAGGATGGATGTCTAGGGGAGTGCGGCCATGGGGAGTCATAACCTTTTTTTAAATGTATTTTATGCTTACATGGGGTATACTCACATGAAGTCTTTGTGTAGTTCTCAATGTTTCAAAATATAAAAAGGGACAAAGAAAACACCCGTGTTACCCAAAAATGTTCGTAAAAAGTACATTGTATGTGTTGTGTGAAAGAACTCTTACTACATGTTGTAACAAGGACACTCCACTGTAGCCAGGAAATTCAAGTAAAACACAGCTTTATTAAGGGCAAACACAAACAGTCTGTTTTCATCAACATGGTAGACTTCTCCTGTTGCACAAGACAGCTTCCAGCAGCAACATAAAGGACAGTCTTTTGCTCACACCATGGCCAACATTTGATGTACTTCCTATAAGAATCAGCCTTCTTCAGCATATACAGTCCTTAGTAGCATATGGAGTCCTTAGTAGCTTTCCTCAGCTCAAGGCCTGGTTCACACCTGGGCGTTTTACAACGCGTTCCTACGCTCTGTAAAACGCTCAACATGTGAAAACCAATGATGTGAAAACCAATGATTGCCTATGGGCATGGTTCCCACCTGGGCGTTTTACAGCGCGTAGGAATGCGCTGCAAAACGCCCTACGCCCAAAGAAGTACAGGAGCTTCTTTGGGGCGTATTTGCCGCGCGTATCCATTGGGATACAGCCAGATAGCCCTCAGCGAATCGCGGTAAAAACGCGCAGCACGAAACACGTGACAAACGCGCATATTCGATACGCCTAGGTGTGCACCCAGCCTAAGCCTCTCAGCACACCTCTGTGTGATACACTGCTCTCCCAGCAGTGGATCACGGACTCTCTAAGCGATGTCCAACAGGTCCCTTGGGTCACCGACCTTCCTGACCTCTCCCAGCCTTCCCCGGCTGTTTCTCCTGAGTCCAGCACGCAGCTGAGTCTGCTGTGGCCGTGTGCCTCCTGCACACACACAGCTCTCACACCACACACACAACTCCCACTCAACTCTGGTCCAGACTCCTAATAAGGCTGCTCTCAGCCCAAGCTGGTCATTGGTAACACCTGGCCCCAGGACTGGAGGCCTTGCAAGACTTTTGTCTTGCAAGGGTTGTAAAGTACTTAAAAAAACGTACGATCTGCCCATCTTGGACAGGCAGATCGTATTTGCGATCATCGCAAGCCCGCCCCCCTGAGGGGCGGGCTTCCGATGACTGTAATTAGGGGCAGGCTTACGATGACTGCAAACGTGCGCACACCGGCCCGTTCGGCAGTTGTCGAACCAGCACGAAACTAACTCGTACGATTCTCGGCGGGTTTTCTAGCATGCTGGTTCGACGGAAGACGTGCGACCGTACATTAGAAATGGTCGCACGTCTGGTTCCGTTGGTCTGGGCAAATGGCCGGAAGGATCCCAGGATCAGCTCCACAGACAAGTGACAGGACTGGTCTGGACACAGACAAATGACTGTAGTCACAGGGCCACCCCACTTGTGAACCAGTTGGCACAGTGCTCTATGCAGTGGCTGGATCTTCATAGGAAGCTGCGTGATATTGTGCTCCAACCTGAGGGGTGTCCAGGAATCCAGGGGCCTGTGGGAACTCAGGGAGCTCAGGGGCCTGTGGGAGCTCAGGGACCTGTGGGAGCTCAGGGGCCTGTGGGAGCCTAGAGGATTGGGGGGAAAATGAATGAAAGTGAACAAGGAGGGTAGGAAGACACCTTGCAAGGTTCTCAGATTAAAACAAGTCTGTTGTTACTTTCAGGCCTTATAACATTCGAAGGATTAATGACCAGCTCATGCTCCTGGAACGAGCATTTCTTAATGATCTTGCTTTTACAGACAAGTTGTATTTCAGGTACGTGGTTTATTTTTATTTTTTTTTAAATTAACTTTGCTTAAAACAAGCCTATCCTTTATAAAGCTACCAAGTGTAGTGCAAGGGCCTGCTTGATTGGATTGAATGGGCTGTGAAGGTAGGCCCTTATAATACATAGTTTTGTGTGTGGTGAGTGTAGAGTATATGGCCAGGTCTAGTGAAGGCATTACTAGGTACACATTATCCCACCCATTACCACCCCATTGTCCATCGAGAACTCCGCTGTTACTAGTAAGAGCGTTCTCATTGGAAGGGGCATGGAAGCTATGGCTTAGCCCAGAAGTCAAGAAATCCATGTTGCCTCAGGCGGCATCTCTTTGGGTTATGTGCGGGCCGGCAGGCACAGCGACATGGCCAATGCACAATGTTCGCAATCTGCCTGCTGCCCCCTTTATGGCTAGAGCATCCTAGGTTGCTAAGAGCCGGACGGGGAGATATGTAAGGACCATACACATCTACCAGCCCATCTAAGCAACCTGGGAGGCTGTGGCCGGCATCCCACCCAGCTCCTGGCAACCAGTGACATCAGTGAGCTGCATGCCAGTGAGATGATCCATCCCCCATTATCACTGAACAATAAGAAAATTTGATAACAACATCCTTTTTGTATCCTAACCACACCACTTTAAGTAAATTAACTTGCAGTGGACCTTGTACTAAAATATCAAGGTCCACTTTTTTTTTTTCGAGGTCCCCTTCACCCATCTCAATGGTAAAAGTCACCTGCACTCCAAAAATGTGTTACAGACAAATAGTGGTCTAGTTATTAGAAATTTGCAGAGCCAATGGGCAAAACCAACACGGTTATTCACAAAAGGGTGAAGAGTTTAGAGAAGGCAGGAGAAGTGAACAATCTAGGACAGTGGTTCTCAATCTGTGTAACCTCGGGACCCACATTTGTCCTCGGTCATTAAGTCGCGACCCAAGTCGCACTGCACTGGAACGCACTGCATTGGAGTACGGCGCGTTCTGGTGCGGGCGATTGAACTGTGGGCAGGAGGTGTGTATGGAGTGAATGGCAACGCACCTCCCACACCAGAATGTGTAGTAGGTGCAATTGCATGGCACCAGTGGCGTAACCAGAGTTCTGGGCGCCCGGGGCAGACATTTTTTTTCGCCCCGCCCCCCCATTATATAAACAACCACTGGAACTGTACCCTGCACCTCCCCCCACACACACATGTTTTTATTTTAATTTTTCAAATTTTAATATTTTATTTTTTTAGAAACTTTTTCATTTTTTTAAATTAATTTTTATTTATTAATTACATTTTTTATTAAATTTTTTTATTTTTTACTTTACTTTTAGGGGCTTCGGGGAAATATTGGGGGTCTAAACAGACCCCTGATATTTCCCTTTAAAAATAGAAAAAGAGATTGAGGACACAGAGTCCTCAATCTCTTTTTCTGTGTCCCCTGTTATCAATGAACAGGAATCCTTTATGAGTGTTCCTGTTCATTGATAACATGGTATGTTTACTATAACTACAATTATGAATGAACAGGAGGAGATGTAGATCACTCCCATTCATTCATAATTGAGGATATAGTATACATACCAGGTCCTCAATTATGTACAAACACTCAGCGATCACTGATCACTGAGTGCTTGTACCCGTTCTCCTCTCTGACACACACTGTCATAGGAGGCTGCAAGAGGAGAGCCCAGCCTCCTGTGACAGCGCTGGCTGTCTCCGCCCCCACACCGCTCTGCTGCACTGTGATAGGCGGCCGAGCGGTGTGGGAGGAAAGACACCGGCCGCTCACAGCGCTCGTCCCGCAGCGCTCGGCCGGCTGTCATTTTCTCTCTGATTCCTTTCATCCCTGCTGGGCACTGCTCTGTGTCCCAGCGGGGATGAAAGGAATCACGGCCGCGCCGGCAAAACGGCAGGAAAATGTCACTTTCGGCAGTTAGCCGAAAGTGCCATTTTCGGCCGGCGCCCCCCCTTCACTTTTCGCCCGAGGCCCGCGCCCCTGCTGCCCCCCCGGTTGTTACGCCACTGCATGGCACAGTGCGTTATTCGCCTAGGGCTGTTCGATGAACACACTGTATTAGTGTGAATGGGCTCTCAGAAACACTGACAGACAGCCAGTCTCCCTACATTATGAGAACTGGTGTAGATCCTCAGCATGGGATTCAGTGTGGGCTGCTGTGCTGTGATGGAGCTCCATCCATATGTGTATTGCTTGTACAACTCCCTTGCGTGCCCTGTAGAGCCAGAACGTGATGTCACTCTGGTCCAAGTACCTCTGTAAGCAATGCATGTATGGATGGAGCTCCCTCGTGGCCATAGCTCAAGCCCGCCCCACCCCAAGCTGACATTCGGCACCGAGCAGCATATGAATGGCTGCTTGGCGTGGGAACTGACAGTGCTGTGCTAGGAGAGGCTGAGGAGCCTCTCACCTAGAAAAGTGGAAGGCATGCGGCGACCCACTGAACACAGGCTCGTGACCCACTTTTGGGTCACCTCACCACCCACGAGTTGAAAACCAGGGATCTAGGACAACTTAGCTGAACTGGAAAGTGAGCTTAATTGGATAATTTTTCCAATTCAGCTATGTTGTCCTAGATTGTTAATTTCTCCTGCCTTCTCCAGACCCTTCACCCTTTTGTGAATAACCTCATAAATGTTTACTTGTGCAGAATGTAATTATCAGAAAATACCACATTATGGCCACCAGATGGCGCTGATAAACACAGGAAAGAATGATTAATTTTCTATGCTCCTCAGCTCCATCTAGTGACCATAATGTTGTATCTTTCCACAATACCATTCATTCTGCACAGGGTAACATTCAGGTTTGTCCTATTTGCACAGAATCCATGTAAATGTCAGTTTTGTAACTGGTAAATGGCTCTGCGATGGTTACAGAGTGAACAGTACAGTAGTGACAACACCAAATCTCATGAGACTAACAGAGGCAGCATTGCCTCTGTTAGTCTCATGAGCAGATCTCACACTGCAGATACACAGCTATGAGGCTGTTGGCATAGCAGTGCCAACCCATACTAACATGCCAGGATCTACACTGCTTTTTTTTTTTTTTTTAGGAAGACAAAGGTAGATTTTTCATGGTACTGCTTAGACACAAATATTCAATATAAGAATAAATATATATATAGTCTTTATATTTCCTATGAGACAACAAATCTTCAATTTTTCAGTACAGGTTCACTTAAATTACCACAAATGTCTCTTCACTCCCGCCACCATGTTATAATATAAGTAAATAGTTTGGGTTCTTCATGTATTCACGCTCTTCCCTTGTGTGTCCATTATAGCCATGTGCTCTGGGCCTCCCGAACCTCCAGCGTGGTCACTTTCCCAGGTCTTGCAGATGCCTATCAGAGAGCAGTGGAGACCAATCTGAGAGAACATTGGGATCTCACCCATCACCACCTAACCATTGCCATTCAGGCTGTGGACAATGCAGCGTCAACCCTGGAGGAAGTCGCCAATATATGAAGATGACCCCGGAAGTTGTGCAAAGTTCTTATTGCTGGCAGACTCATCAGCATACCCCTTTCAGTTATCTGCATGTTAATCCAAAAACATTTTAGCACCACAGAGGTCACCCAAACATGACCATCAGTCAAACGCAAACAAAAATGACGCAAAAAACCCAAACTATGTTCTAGTCAAGACAATACCACATCAATGGTAATACAATGGTATAACCAGGAATGCCAATGGTGTGCTGGAGAAGTCCAGCTTGGATGCCAACCAGCAGGATCTCTTCTTAGTGTAAGCCAGGGGTGGACAAATTAATATGGATTTCAGGAGCCAGTCTGTCCAATCCAGAAGCCAATAGTATGTTTTTTAGGAGCCAGCTCCATTAACAATGACTAGAGGAAACCTCAAAAGTTAGGCACCAGCTGTAATTTATATGGCACATTGGCGACCTGGCTCCTGGGATTTGTCCAGCCCTGGTGTAAGCTACAGCCCAACCTGCAATAGATGTTTCCAAATCCCTTTACAGAATATGGTAAGGAACAGATTCCGATGCAGGGGATTCCATTTTGGATAAGTTCCGCTTTATGTAATGGCCGGCGTGATGTCCAGAACCCCACACAAGCGCAATGTGCTTCATTTACTGTTGCAGGCCCAAATGTTCTAGAATTCTGTATTTTTTTAGTTTAAACATTGTATTTAAAACAACAATCACAATTAAACATCCAATCACTTTGACATTTACAATGAGTCTCTAAATATAAATGAGTATAAATGTAAAAATGTACTAGGACCATTTCTAGGAAAAGGCAGCTACCTGGAATGCCACCAGGTAAAGAGGGCCCCGTGTAGTGATGTCTTGGGTGGGTGGAGTTCTGGAGTACAGAGCAGCCATGTGCACTGTACAGGAAAGCCGGGTCTATGAGAAGGTAATAAAGTTGGACATTTGCATAGTAAAGAAGACAAGTCATAAAAACTCCCGATAGCCGCAGTCCACAAATCCCGAGTGCCTGTGGTCTTTTTATTCCCGTGGATTATTTGCAAAATTATTGTTCAAATTGTTTTCATCCTTCTATTAACGTGACACTAAACTCAGGGGTTAAATCTTAAAAATAATAACCCAATAAGTGCTGCTAATATCTGGCACTTGTAGATGTCACTGCAGTATCCAAATCTCTATTTTCAAACATAAACTTATACCATGTGCTTAAAAAGTCCCAGGACCTTGCTTCTTTATATGAAAGTTTTCCCCTGAGCGATGGACTATTTCCTTTTTTCTAATTGGTCAACAATAAGTTCCTACATTACCCCTTATCCCATTGGTTAACGATCAGCTCCTACTCTTCCCCTTATCCCATTGGTCAATGATCAGCTCCTACTCTACCCCTTATCCCATTGGTCAATTATCAGCTCCTACTCTACCCCTTATCTCATTGGTCAACGATCAGCTCCTACTCTACCCCTTATCCCATTGGTCAATGATCAGCTCCTACTCTACCCCTTATCTCATTGGTCAACGATCAGCTCCTACTCTACCCCTTATCCCATTGGTCAACGATCAGCTTCTACTCTGCCCCTTATCCCATTGGTCAATTATCAGCTCCTTCTCTACCCCTTATCCCATTGGTCAACGATCAGCTCCTACTCTACCCCTTATCCCATTGGTCAATGATCAGCTCCTACTCTACCCCTTATCTCATTGGTCAACGATCAGCTCCTACTCTACCCCTTATCCCATTGGTCAATGATCAGCTCCTACTCTACCCCTTATCTCATTGGTCAACGATCAGCTCCTACTCTACCCCTTATCCCATTGGTCAATGATCAGCTCCTACTCTACCCCTTATCTCATTGGTCAACGATCAGCTCCTACTCTACCCCTTATCCCATTGGTCAATGATCAGCTCCTACTCTACCCCTTATCTCATTGGTCAACGATCAGCTCCTACTCTACCCCTTATCCCATTGGTCAACGATCAGCTTCTACTCTGCCCCTTATCCCATTGGTCAATTATCAGCTCCTTCTCTACCCCTTATCCCATTGGTCAACGATCAGCTCCTACTCTACCCCTTGTCTTGTTGGTCCACCATCAGCTTTTTCTCACTCTGCCTCCTATTTCTCCTATGATCACCTCTCTCTGGCTCTTCTTTTATTGGTCAACAATCCGCTCTCATTTTGCCCCTTTTCTTATTGGTCATTGATCCTCTCCTAATCTGCCTCTTTTTCCATTGGTCAAAGATCAGCTTCCACTCAGGCGTGCACCAGGTCTAAATTGGACACAACCAGGTGTGTCAGGTGGCTGGTTCCCTGCTTATGCGTTTCCTCCTTCTGCCCCATATCTCACTACGGCGTCTTGTAATTATGTAGGGGTCAACTCGGGGCTGGATTTACTCTCTCTCTCTCTCTCTGCTGTGATTTACATGCCCCAGTGTCATAGCAGTAGGAGGTGACAGGTTCACTTTATTGAACCTGTTGCCTCCAAAACAGGAGTTCTAACACAGCACTGTGCAGGAACTCCTGTGATAGCTGAGATGGGAAGGCTGCAAGTGCTCTACCCTCTCAGTGTTTACACGAAGCAGAACGGAGAACTGACGTTCTCTACTCTGCTCCCGATCCCATCCTGAATGAATGTGCCGTGGTACTCCGGTCTTATCCCATTGGTCAATGATCAATGGGATAAGAGGAGCGGGGGACCCCAAAAACTATGGCTGGAACGGAGGTGTGAAGAGGCAGCCAGGTAAGGTAGGGGCGGACCATGGAGGAGGGGCAGAGGGGGCCGGACAGACCTGCACACATATTACAAGTGATCTCGGCGACATCACCGGGATCACTTGTACTCAAACACCGGCTTCTCCCCACTACATTTAGCCCTGCTTGCCCGAAACAGGGCTAAATGTAGACAAAAAACTACCTGCCCGGTGGCTATGCCGCCCCTCTATTCCCTGCTGCCCCGGGGCCAGGCCTTGGTGGCCTTGTGGGAAATCCGACCCTGGGTCAACCAAAAGATCCACAACACTCAGAAGAAGACCAATCATGTGACACCACCAGAAGTGTCAGATGCAGAAGATTCTATATGCAGAGGTTACTCTTCAAGAGAGCGAAGATCAATGTTAGAAGTGTGACCCAGCACCACAGGAATGGGCGCTTTGGCTCATTTTAAACCCAGGCATTTATATCAGGCCTACTCTCTCTCTGTCACACAATACGGAACTCAGCCACTGCTGTGACAGAGGGAGAGAAAGCAAGCCAGAATGGTTGTTCCTGCAGTGCTGGGGGCTTGCTCTCCAAAGCCATCGAAGCATAATGGGTGTGAGGGGTGGTCTATATCGGAGTTTTTCTGAAAGGCTTGGCAATGGCTGCACATGGTCTACCAGTATGCTATTGCAAAAAAAAAGGTTCTTTTTAACAAACTGTGCAGTTTTTTTTTAATGTTCTGAGGACCCTGGAGTGCATGACAAAGGTAAAGTAAAACTTTAAAGATGCAGTATTATAGAGTCAGAATAAGAAATCAGTGTATTTTATTCTTATTTATGTCACGGAGTAAGTAAAAAAGAGAGAAGAGTAAAATGCAATAAAATAAGCACAGAGCACAAGGTGACCAGTGATGAGTGAAATACAACCTGTATAATGGATGGATTCTTGTACAAAATTCTGTGTTTACAGGAGATGAAACAGAAAATGATGGTGTGCCCATCCCCCAAAAAGGTTGTTGCAATGCTGGATGAATGCAAGTAAGATATTATCTCGAACTGAAGGTGCCATATAATAACTAAATAATAAAAAGTTATGATGATAATAATAATAATAAATAAAATCTTGAGGGTCACATCAAGGACTATGTCTAACCAATCATGGTCAGATACTCTCAGTCATTACTTTTCTCATTTATAAGTAGTTTCTGTTTTTTTGGCTTAACTTTTTCCATAAAATACCTCTATGACTATGTCTCCATGCGTGTTAGATGCAGAAGCAGAGCCCATGTCTCGCCCATGTTATGCCTGCCCATTGGGGGAGTCATTGTATGCAACATTTAGGCAATGCAACACGCAACATGATAGATGCTTGCCGGACATATAGTGAGTATTGGGCTGATTATTGGACCCAGTGGATATTGCATGAACCTTGTGATCCCTTTTCTAAGTAGTAGTTTTAAGACTTTTAAAAGTGGCTCTATGACTGGTCTCCATGGGTGCTGGATGCAGATTCCATGTCTAGTCTATGCTTTGTCTTTTCACTGTATACATCACTCAACAGGATGTATGGTTGATGGACACTCAAGTGAAGAACCTTATGACCCTTTCTCTTGGTAGGACTTTTATGCTTTAAGGTTCTTATTGACTCAGGAAAACATCCCCTTTTATTACAAGATACTTGTTTTCACTTCTCTAAGTTTTTAGCTTAACTTATTAAAAATGACGCTATGACTAGGTCTCCGTAGGTGCTGGACGCATATTCAGATCCCATGTCTGGCCCATGCTATGCCTCCTCACTGGTTATATAATTGTATACAACAGGATGGATGTTTGATGGATATGGAAGTAAGGCATCTTGTGATCCCTTCTCTTGGCAGGACATTTATGCTTTAAGGTTCTTGTTGACTCAGGAAAACACCTCATTGTATTACAGGCTTGTTTTCCCTTCTCTAAGTAATTTTAGTTTTTTAGCTCAACTTCTTAAAAGTGACTCTATGACTAGGTCTCCACGGGTGCTGGACGCATATGCAGATCCCATGTCTGGCCCATGTTATGCCTCCTCACTGATTGAATCATTATATACAACATTCAACATGATGGATGCTTGATGGGCATGGGTGTGAGGCACCTTGTGATCCCTTCTCTTGGCAGGACTTTGCTTAAATGTTCTTGTTGACTCAGGAAAACATCCCATTGCAGGAGACTTGTTTACCTTTATTCTGGCCCGTTCAGCTGTGACATTCTGGAGACGTGCCTAAAGACGGGAACAAAAGTTCAAATATATGGACATAAACCTGGCAGGTAAAGGCATAAACACACAGAGGAAGAAATATACACTCACCGCCACTTTTATTAGGTACA